TCCTGCGTCAGCGGCGCGCACAGCGACAGGAACTGCGGGGGAATGGAACACCTGGGTACACCTGGGCACAACGGAGATACACCTGGGCACACCTGGGTACACCTGGGCACACCTGAGTTACACCTGGGTACACCTGAGTTACACCTGGATACACCTGGGCACACCTGAGATACACCTGGGCACACCAGGGTACAGCTGGGCACACCTGAGATACACCTGGGCACACCTGAGATACACCTGGGCACACCTGGGTTACACCTGGATACACCTGGGTACACCAGCGTACACCTGGACACACCTGAGATACACCTGGGCACACCTGAGATACACCTGGGCACAGCAGTGTACAGCTGGGCACACCTGAGTTACACCTGGATACACCTGGGTTACACCTGGATACACCTGGGCACATCTGAGATACACCTGGGCACACCTGGGTTACACCTGGGCACACCTAAGATACACCTGGGCACGCCTGAGATACACCTGGGCACACCAAGGTACAGCTGGGCACACCTGGGTTACACCTGGATACACCTGGGCACACCTGAGTTACACCTGGACACACCTGGGTTACACCTGGGCACACCTGAGATACACCTGGGTACACCAAGGTACAGCTGGGCACACCTGAGATACACCTGGATACACCTGGGCACACCAGGGTACACCTGGGCACACCTGGGTTACACCTGAGTTACAACTGGATACACCTGGGCACACCTGAAATACACCTGGGCAGGCCTGGATAGAACTGAGATACACCTGGACACACCAAGGTACAGCTGGGCACACCTGGGTTACACCTGGATACACCTGGATACACCTGGGTTACACCTGGGCACACCTGAGATACACCTGGGCACACCTGGATAGATCTGAGATACACCTGGGCAAAGCAGCGTAGAGCTGGGCACACCTGGGTTACACCTGGATACACCTGGGTTACACCTGGATACACCTGGGCACAACTGAGTTACACCTGGGCACGCCTGAGATACACCTGGATACACCTGGGCACACCTGAGATACACCTGGGCACACCAGGGTACACCTGGGCACACCTGAGTTACACCTGGGCACACCTGAGATACACCTGGGCACACCTGGGTTACACCTGGATACACCTGGGCACATCTGAGATACACCTGGGCACAGCTGAGATACACCTGGGCACACCTGAGATACACCTGGGCACGCCTGAGATACACCTGGGCACGCCTGAGATACACCTGGGCACACCTGAGATACACCTGGGCACACCAAGGTACAGCTGGGCACACCTGGGTTACACCTGGGCACACCTGAGTTACACCTGGGCACACCTGGATAGATCTGAGATACACCTGGGCACACCTGAGTTACACCTGGGCACACCTGGGACACGCCTGGGCACACCTGGGTTCCACCTGGGACACACCTGGATAGAACTGGAAACACCTGGGATACACCTGGGCACACCTGAAGCACACTGTCACACACCTGGGACACACCCAAGGCACAGCCAAAGAGACCTGAGACCACACCTGGGCACACCTGAGCCACACCCTCGCACACCCGGGCCACACCCTCACACACCTGGGCACACCTGGGCACACCCTCACACCCCTGGGCCACACCCTCACACACCTGGGCACACCCTCACACACCTGGGCACACCCTCATACACCTGGGCCACACCCTCACACACCCGGGCCACACCCTCACACACCTGAGCACACCTGGGCACACCTGAGCCACATCCTCACACACCCGGGCCCATTTTGGCCACACCCATAGACACCTGAGATTACACCTGGGCACACGTGGGCACACCATGACACACCTGGGCACACCCGGGCCGACTTTGGCCACACCCAGACACACCTGAGATTGCACCTGGGCACACCTGGGCCACACCTGCACACACCTGGGCACACCCTCACACACCTGGGCACACCCACACACACCTGGGCACACCCACACACACCTGGGCACACCCTCACACACCTGGGCACACCCACACACACCTGGGCACACCTGGGCCACACCCTCACACACCTGGGCACACCTGGGCCACATCCTCACACACCCAGGCCCATTTTGGCCACACCCATAGACACCTGAGATTACACCTGGGCACACCACGACACACCTGGGCACACCATGACACACCTGGGCACACCTGGGCCGACTTTGGCCACACCCAGACACACCTGAGATTACACCTGGGCACACCTGGGCACACCTGAGCCACTCCCTCACACACCTGGGCACACCTGGGCACAACCTCACACACCTGGGCCACACCTGAGCCACACCCTCACACACCTGGTCACACCCTCACACAACCTCACACACCTGGGCCACACCCTCACACACCTGGGCACACCTGGGCACACCCACACACACCTGGGCACACCCACACACACCTGGGCACAGCCCCGGGCACACCTGGCCGCCTGTCTGGGCACACCTGGGCACATCCTCACACACCTGGGCACACCCTCACACACCTGGGCACACCTGTGCACACCCACACACACCTGGGCACACCTGGGCACACCTGGGCCACACCCTCACACACCTGGGCACACCCACACACACCTGAGATTGCACCTGGGCACACCTGAGCCACTCCCTCACACACCCTCGCACACCTGTGCACACCTGTGCGCCCCTCACCTGCTGGAACAGCCGCTCGTTCTCCTCCCGGAAGGCGCCGCCCCTCCCCCCCCCGGCCCCGTTGGGGGGGGGCGGCCCCGGCGGGGGGGGAGGGGCGGAGGGGGCGGGGCC